GTCATCATCATCATCATCATCATCATCATCATCATCATCATCATCGTCCTTGTCGTCGTCGTTGTTACTGTTATCATGGTCCTCATGGTTTTTAAACATCAAAGTGTTTTCCTGCTTTTGCAGAATTATAAGTTAAAAGAACAGTTAGTTTGTTATCGTGAAATATAGAAGTTAAATAAATAGAAGTTAAATAATTTCAAGAAATTAGTGTAGTGATAAAACAAAAGATAAAAAAGAAAGAAAAACAATCAATTCTAATTTACCTACATTCTAATTCAACAAAAGAAATCGAAGTGTGAAGGGAAATACATCCCTTGGAAAATTAAAATACATGAACTGAATGAACTTAAAAATAATTTTTTAAAAAGAAATAATCAAATTGAACGAAATCATTAGAAATAAAAACTCGTAAAATACCGATGTGCAAACAAGGTAGAAGAAAGCAAAACACACATTCGAAGCTAGCCATGCTTAAGAAAATGAAATCAGGCAAACCTGCAAAGCTATAGCAGCAATGTAAAAATATAAAATTCTAATATAATGAAGGTGAAACGACAGTGATGTGAAATAGGAATCGATGAGAATGATAGGATAATACGTTTTTGAAATGACGAATCGAAGGGATAATAAGAGGAAATTTTTGACAATTTTTTTTTATTACTTTGAAGTGAAAAAAAAAGTAGGGAGTGGGGTGGGGGCATTTCTTGGGTGCAGGGTGGGGGTCGGGTTACGTCTCAGGGTGTTTATAGAAACGGAACTTTCAGTGTCATCATATTATAACAGTTTTGAACAGAAATAAAAGTTAATGTCTGCAAAAACATGAGAAGGTCGATCATTCCGCCATTCTGCAGCCGCCATCCTATAAAACAGAGTGACGGTTCAGGGGTCATGTGAAATTTCATAAAAAGAATAATCAAACGCTGCATAAGGAGCGGGACAGGCATGGCAAAAGATTCCCTACTAGTAGAGAATCTTTGGGCATGGGAAAACATCTATATATCCTTCAGCACATTTTCATACTGTTCAATAAATTGGAAGATGACATTTTCTAAGCTACACAACAACAGATACGACAAAGGGGAAACACGTACGAAGTCTTGACCAAGCCAATTTTGGACAATTCACAATGTGACAAGTTCACATCACAAAATCAACCCCGTTTCGCTCGCTGCTGATCTAGTTCTATTGCGGAAAGCACACTCTTAAGACATATACACATCAACTCACACCCACACAGGTACGCTTGTGTAAAACATACACACATACACTCATATGCAGCGAAGACAGGTATACAATAATAATATTCATGAAAAGGTACTCACAAAACTCACGTCACACATAATATAATGTGTATCTACATATACATGAGATCATTTGTATATTCCATACAAATAAACGCATACACAGGCAGACACACATATCTTTCAGTCACTCACCCACTCATTCTCTCATTTTCTCTCTACCTCCTGTCTTTACACAGACACAGACATTAACACAGGCACACAGAGACACACACACACATTGATGAATACACATATACATACGTCTCTCTTTCTCTTTCTCTCTCTCTCTCTCTCTCTCTCTCTCTCTCTCTC